TCCCATCTTCCCTCCCTCCCTCCTCCCTCCTCCCTCTTCGCAAGTTCGACTCCGTCCTGTCGTCGCTCTTTGGCATGCGGTTAGCGTTGCGTATCTTGCGGCCGCACTCGCTCACTCTCACTCTCACTCTCTCACTGTCTCACTGTCTCTCTCATCTCTCTCATCTCTCTCATCTCTCTCATCTCTCTCATCTCTCTCTCCTCTCTCTCTCCTCTCTCTCTCTCTCTCTCCTCTCTGTCTCTCGTCTTTCCGTCTCTCTTCTCTCTCTTCTCTCGCAGGAGGATCCGGGCAAAGAGCCACATATAAAGGACTCTTCACCCCTGCCTCCAAAAAGAGCGCCGTGTTTTTTCCTACCTCGCTGCCCTCCACTTTCCCATTCTGGAGCGCTAGCTTTCGCCCCCCCGTTGGCCTCAAGTTTTTTTGGAGCGCTCACTTTTGAAGTGGGAACCGTGGGAGGAGTACCAGTCAGAAGCAGACCAGCTTCGTGCTGCTGAAGCGATGCGACTGGCAGAGATGTTCCAAATGGCAAAGGCGTCACATTTCCTGTGTATTGACTTGATATGAATGGATACATAATGATACATATGGATACTGCACTGTGATTCAACTATTTACCCTCTGTATGTGTACACACTTGACAGGAGCTAGATGCACTAAGCGCAGAAGCTGATTGTTTGCGCACAGACGAAACAAGTCAACTTGCAGAGATATTGGAGATTTTTCAGGAGGCTTGTTTTGATCCAACGTGGGCTGAAACTTAGGGCAGTTTGCCTCAGTCGTCGAGTCATCACAACAGATGAGGCGTTGCAATGATGAGCTTTCATAAACCTTCTGCTGTAAATTAGGAATTCAGACGATCAGATTTTGAGAGCCGTCTCTACACCAATAGCACGGTCTACAGTCTAGAGTCTAGGGCGCTAATGTTTGAGGTGATTTTCTCGTTAAACGGCCTCTTGTTCTGGGCCGGTTGAGGTGGAGTAGGGGAGCATTCCACACCAATTGTAATTGCATGGCATGGTTTGCCCCGCAAGATCCAGGTGTTGGCTCCCTGTTGTTGTTCATTTTGGATGGGAGGTCATACAAATACTTGTTTGAGAATGGTTGCCAAGTCCTGCATATGTTCAGAATGAACTTACCAAAGGCCTTCCAACCACATATATTCATAGAAACACAAAAGCACAAGCGGCAATGATTGTGTGAGCCCCTCCAATTCGCCAATGCATCACTATAGACAAGACAGGAGAAAACGGGAAAGCAAAAGGAAAGGAAAGCAAAGCAAAGGATAGCAATGATTTTAAGGAAAGGAAAGGAAAGGAAGTGAAAGCAAAGAAAATGAATAGAAAAGGAAAAGCAGGGGGGAAGGAATGCAATTTGTGAATGTGCTTTTTCCATGCCGTCTAAAAAGCATATTGGAAAGAAAAGAAGAGAAACAAACAACATAAAAGGAAAGAAAAGGGACAAGGACATGTGACATGAACAAATAAAACAATTTGTGAATGCGCCCTGAAGCCGAGCCGCGCCAGTTACATGCTGTATGGGCATTCCAGTGGGGGACTGCTGCTCTGAACCTCCAAGACCTTAGTCTGAGAAGAACGTCACAAAGCGCTTTGCTGATTGACCTCGGAACAGAGCGGAACGGTTCGTTTTTTCCTGTTCAACTGTGTTTGGAAAATTGACGGCTGTTTACAATCGGTTCATGACAAGCTTCGGCTCTTGACATTCGCTAACTTTCGGTTCCGGATCGATTCGGGACCCTTCCTGAAACCAAAATTTCCAAACAAAGTGCATAAAGGCCTGCAAACATTTTTAAAAAGATAGACCACAACATACACAACCTATGGAGAAATCCGCGATCGGCTTCATATATGTTTAATCATGCCTAAAGTTACTCAAAGATAAGATTCCAAGGACTTATGTTCGAGGTAAAAAATCCAATTCCGGTGTGTCGCAGCTTTCAAGTCTTTTTCGATACTTAGCTACTGGCTACCCCCAAAATTATGTGCAAAAAGTACTCTTCAGGCTATATATATATATACTACATTATATAAATAGATGCCGCGAACGTAGACCGTGGGCTACCAGAAGAATTATTTCAAGACGTTTTGCCAGATGCGCAGTGAAGGGTTCTCGATTAACTCTGGGGGTATTAAAACTGGGGGTCTCGGGATGCGCCGTGTTCGCGTGACGTTGCAACCGCGTGAATGTTATGAAAATGGTGCCCCCGTTGGGGAAAGCTTTTGGAGGAGATTCTTGGATGGATGCATGAAGTGTCAGATTCGTGTGCGGGATGTTTGCTGCGTGCAGTGTTTCGTGGCGGTCTAACGGTGGTGTTTTGGAGGTGTTTCAACGTCGCTGTGCCACGGAGAAGTGCCTTGAAAGCACTTGCCTCCAAGGTGTGTTTCAGGGACGAGTCTCAGGAAAACATTGCAATCTTGAGGGATCTGGGTGAAACAGCAATGTGTTGATATCATTCCCAGCGCGTGGTGCGGTGAAAAATTTGCTAGACAATGTCAAAGTGTGGCTTAGTCAGGTTCGATCAGTTTCATGGCAGTCACATGAAGCACTGTGTTTGCTTGTTGACAATATTGAACTGCAGCGCTTCTGGATCAAAAAATCACCACTTTGTAAGAGGCTTAGCCTAGCCGATGCTGTTGTGGCACAAGTACTGTAAGCCCTGGCATGCCGTCGCAGGAGCGAGAAGGACTGCATGCTGAAGCGAAGAAGCTGCACGCAGAGGTGGATGAACTTCGATCAGCACGCCTGGACAACGAGAATCGCCTGGTTGAGACGACTTCGATGGCCGAGGATACTGTTTCTTTGTTGAGTTCTTTGTTCGTTGGCCAACTCGCAGATCGTCACTGAAGACCTGTTGCATGTCCTGAATCGTTGTGGAAATTTGCTGTATCATACAGACATACAGAGCGCAGAGCAAAATCTTCCATTAGTTTGTGACCGCTGCTGTAAGGCAGCCCAATTGAGACTTGCGACCTGAAAAGTGCATTGTTTTGTTTGGTTTGGAAAGGTGTGCGATATGGTGGTATGTGGGCCACAAGAGGCGGTGGTACCAAAAACATGCAAAAACAATGTTCCCGCCCAAACCATCCGAAACTTGATCAAATGTTGCGGGTGAATGGGTCATGTTGAAGGAGCGGATATTTTTCACAAGGTCAATGGCCGCGTGCTCGTGCAGAGGCGTTCCCTCCCTCCCATTGGCCCTAAGACAAAGTATAACAATAAACAAGAACAACAATTGTGTTTTTGTGCATCAATGTGAGGCATTTTTGGCAACAAACATTTATTTATTATATAGATTGCCCTCTTGCTCGGATTGGCAGTTTTTCGAGTTTGTGCCAGGTCATTACTGAGCGTTTTGCCCCTGGTTCGAATGGCCAAAGATATTCGCTGAGTGTGGTCCTTTATTTTTGGGATCAAGCCTTTAGTCAAACCATATTCAGTCAATCGGATTGGTTGAGCCTGAGCAACCTCTGACAGATATATAATATAGAGTGCATTCTAGGCATAGGAGCCACATAGACGAGCGCTCTTTGGGTTCTTTGCGCCTGTAGAGCTCGAGGAGCACATTGCAGATCCACATGGCCAACGTCTGGCAGAGCTGTCCCAGATTGCCCAGGCGAACACGTCGATATAATTACGGCATGGCTGGAAGTTGGGAACAGGCAATCAGCAAATCTTCGCTGAGTTTGTCTTGCGTAAGAGTCAGTAGTATTCAAAGCTTGGGGTGCCGATAGGTTCATCTGAGCCTGAGCCCCACTTCTCCGAAGGGCGTGGCCACAGGTTCAGTTTATCACTGGTTACGGCTGAATCCAGACCTCAATTTGACAAGTTGGAAATGTTGATCAAAGCTGAACATACCACCGTACATAGACTGTTGACGATATAGACCAGTTCCTTGCTGGCCTAGTTTCCCTTTCCTTTAGTTGGTTTGTTGGGTTCCCCTGTCTTGTTTTTAGGAGCGCTCGCTTTTGAAGCGGGAACCGTGGGAGGAGTACCAGTCAGAAGCAGACCAGCTTCGTGCTGCTGAAGCGATGCGACTGGCAGAGATGTGCCAAATGGCAAAGGCGTCACATTTCCTGTGTATTGACTGGATCCTGCACTGCATCGTACAACTTGTTGGCGATTGCCAGGTTCTGCTTTGTCATTGGCGACCCCCAAGTGGTCACAGATTCGTTTGCCGTGTTTCCACAATCAGAATTCTTTTACTTTTGCGTCGTCCTTGACATTAGCTCCAGGAGCTGGAAGAATGCAGAGCAGAAGCAGACTTGCTTCGTGCTGCGGAAGCAATGCGCTTGGTGCAGATGAAGGAACACAATCACTTGACAGAGCACAGGTCAACGCGTGATGTCACACCCCATGATGGATCATGGAAATGAAATGCATTTAACGTTGTTGTTACAGAGAATGCTTACCTGATTGCCGGATTGCAGTTTGATAGCCTCAGCATGCATTTGCTTGCTTCGTTGGACTGGTCACGGCTGGCCCTTCTTGTTAGGAGCTGGAGGAACAAAGAGCAAACACGGAATTGTCCAAGGCAAGGGTGTGAGCGAATTACATCCTGGTTTGTCCGAGGCCCGTAGGAGCGCCAGGGGAAAGCCATGTGGTCATTCAGTATCCAAGATTGCCTCCCCAGCTCAAATATATGATAGTTTGTCTCAGTTTTCATGGTTGTGTTTGCCCTTTGTCCTGGTCTACTTGGTACTTGAGAATCAACGCCCTTGTTTGCTGGACGGGGCTGATTTCAACGCGGATAAGCATGCAGCAGCAGAAGGATGCCTGGCAGCAAAGGCTGTTTTCTCCTATTCACCACGAGATGCGACCCTTAACCAGACTGGGGTGTTGCATGAGTACAATGCACCTATGCACGCAATCCATGAGGAGTTGCAGGGATTCAAGTGGAATGCAGAGCCAGCATACCCCTGTTGCCGGGAGTGCAATTGTATGTGTGTGTTTTTAGAAAGGCATATATACATGCATATTTTTTTGTTTGTTTAAAGAACTCTTCCGATTTGTACTCTATATATGTACAACTCCGTGCAACGCAGGGACAGCTGCCAGCCTGGTGGTACAGTGACTTGACTCATTGTCCGGTGCGACGTCTGTACGCATGACTCCCCAATGAGGTGTGTACTGGGTACTGCGCAAAATCCGCAGGGTGGTTGGACGAGTGACAAATGGCAGGAACGTGATATGCTTTGCTCAGATGCGGAGCACTTGCGCCTGCTTTTGAAGGCATCCCAGGAGGTCTGGGCAATGGGTTTCATGATGTTCACTGGGAAAAATCATCAAACAGGCAAGAAGGTCTAGACAGTCTAGGGAGAGAGAAGGCTGAGAGGGACGGAGGGAGGGAGGGAGGGAGGGAGGGAGAGGAGAAAGAAAAAGATAAGAAAGAATCCCGATGTTTTCGTCAACTGAGAAGTGTCCTTGCGATTATTGCTGCAAATTCGCACCTAGATGGCCTTGCACCTGTACTGTGCGTGTGAAATGTCCATCCAACGATGTTCACAAACCGGAGACATCAGCTGCTGAAGGAGCTTTCAGCGCAGAAAGAAGAGGCACAGCAGTGATTCAGCTGTTCAACGCACCTTTGTGATGCGTACTGTCTTATTCCAGTCCACATTCTGTCCTATTTTGCTGACTTTGATTGATGCACACGAACGCTTTCGGCTGCGTGGCGTAGTTTGCCAGAACACGGAGGTGAAGCAATTGAAATTCAAACAGGACCACGTTGATGCTCCAGAGGCTCTGAAGAGGGTGGCCACAGTTTTCTCTTGGGGTGAGGAAGGATAGGAAGATAAGTAAGAAGGTAAGTCAACTGAGCCAGAAAAAAAAGGTGGATTGATGTAAAGTCACGAAAGGTAGCTTGAGCTACCTGAGTTCTCCTTGCTTTAGCAAAAATGTATTACAATCAGGAGTTGGGATTGTGCATTGAGTTTGGTCCTGTAAGAGTTGATTCTGTTCGTCTGGGGGGGGGGGCCCCCCCCCCCTGGATCAAATCCCCCCTGCGCCGGTTCACGCCGTCATGGACTTCTACCAGGGTTACTTGTGATTGCCTGCTACCTTTCGTTCACCCCCTCCTCTCTCAAGTAGTATTGTGGGATCCTTCGTTCAGAATTCCACGCACCGCCGCAGCTAGCTATTTCTGATGTTTTCTGTCTTTGTGGAATGTATTATTTAGTTGGGGAACGACCCTCCGGACGACATCCAAAACGACATTGGAACGACCTCCTTAACCACGTACATCATGTATTTGCTGCTGCTGCTCTTGCTCCTCTTGCTCCTCCTGCTCGTGCTGTTGCTCCTGCTCCTCCTGCTGCTCCTGCTCCTTCTGCTGCTCCCGCTCCTCCTGCTCCTCCTGCTGCTGCTGCTGGTGCACTTTCGATGGACAATATTTAGCCAGATTTCTCGGCGAAAAAACGACCTCCGACGACCTCTGAACGACGTCCGCATTTCAGTCAGAATGACCACTACTACTGACTTCTTCTTCTTCTTCTTCTTCTTCTACTACTACTACTACTACTACTCCGGCTGCTGCTGCTGCTACTACTCCTGCTGCTGCTGCTACTACTACTGCTGCTGCTGCTACAACTAGTACTACTACTACCACTGCCACTACCACTACCACCACCACTACCACTACCACTACCACTACCACTACCACTACTACTACTACTACTACTCCTTCTGCTACTGCTACTGCTACTGCTACCTACTGCCCACTACCTACTAACTACTAACTACTAACTACTACTACTCCTCCTCCTCCACTTCCTCCTACTCCTACTCCTACCCCGACTCCTTTGTACTCCTATTCCGACTGCTGCTGCTGCTGCTACTGCTGTGTTTTTTGTTATTGGTACTACTACTACCGCTACTACCATGGTTGCCGCCATCACCACATATGAAGACCCCCGGTTGTAAATCATACGATTTGCTGTTAGGATCATGATTTTCGTACCATGTTTTTACCTCAACTGTTAACTACTCGTAGCCAAAAAGATGCTAGGCGATGTATGATAGTTCCTTGAAACAAGAAGCTACTTGGGGCTCCTGGCCTTACTAGTAGGAGCAAGGACGCTACTAGGGGCTCCTGGCATCGCTACTAGGAGCAAGGACGCTAC